CGCCCCGGGCCACCCGGCCGGGGCCTGGCACTGACGCCGCCAGGGCCATCTTGGAGCCGGTCAGGGGGCAGCGATGGTGGCGGGATCCTGGGCGGGGAGGACTGGAGGGCCCCGCAGCCTGGTCCGCTGCAAGCTCCGACAATGGCTGGAGCCCGGGGCGGGGAGGAGGCCTTGCCCGGACCACATGCAGAGGAGCAGGCGCGCTCCAGAGGTGAACGGCAGCCCTGCTATAAAATGTGTCACTCCTAATGAGCCTCGAGTTTAAATTTAACCACAAGTGTCCACTTCGGTGGCTTCAAAGGAAAGCAGGCTGGGGTGTGCCTGAGCGATTTGGGCGCAGCCAAGTTCACCTCTGATATCCAGCCTAGCTCTGCGAGCAGGGCATGTGGGAGCCGGTGGGGTTGGGCGGTAAAGGGGGATGCGATCTTGATGCAGACCTCATCTCTTTGTGTGTTCCTGGAAATCTTGGGGAGTTGCCTCCCTTTTCTCTGGGGTCTTCCTATTCAGGGAGTTAGGCACTCCAGAGAGTCAATTACTGTTGTGCATATGGGGCCCAGAGCTTAATTAGCTGGCTGGCAGGGCCACCTTGCAGGGCGGATCCCTGGCTGCAAGGTGAGGAGGTAGGCTCTGTGGTTCAGGGCTCGTGTTGGGGGTTGTCACAGAGGGGTTACTAAATTAGCCTGGAAACCCCCTACAGAAGGCGACACTTGGAGGAGCCTGGAAGACTGTACTCGGTGGCATTGATGTTTATAAGTTGGTGTGAACTGGGGTTACTTTACCGGGATGCATCTTAACTAGCAGTGAACCCAGCAAGCAATGAATGGAACTTTTGCAGCCTGTGGTTTAAGCACAGGAAGGAAAATTTATGTCGTTTTATTGGGCGTTTGCTGTGTATCTTGCTCTGTGCCTTGGTCCTTTGATTATGTTGCTTATCAAAACTTGAAGATTCCCTGTGGGAATACCCTTCCTGTCTGAAGGGTTCAGAGAGGCACAGTGAAGTTTTGTAGACCACCCAGCAAAGGGAGCAACAGGCTGGGTGTTGACAACTGGCCCTCTAACCAGAAACCTGGGGCAAATGTTCTGGGGCTGTTTTTCTCCCTGCTTTCCAGCTCCAGGGCTTTGCCTAGTGACCCTGAGTCGCTCTCCCCATACATGCTGGTCCAGAAATCTCTCTGGTTCGTCTGTGCAGCATTGCTGGGCATTCCTAATAGTGTCTCATCCAAGTGGTACTGTTAGGAAGCTTGGATAATTTATTTTAAAATAGCATTAACTGAGTTTTTTTTTTTTTTTTTTGGTTATCAGAAAAGTGTATATTTGTTGTCAAAAACATGGAAATCACAGGAAAGTGAACAAAAAGGAAAATGGCCTGTCACCTCTTGAGCTGCTCTCACAGCTCAGAATGACAGGACCTTCTGTTTGGTTCTGCTGCAGTCTCTTGCAGTCTAGGTCATGCTGGGGTCTTTCTTCTCTGGGACTGTAGGTAGCAGCGCCTGCCTCAGAGAAGCCTACTTGGGGAGCTGGACCTAGTAATACCTGGGCTGCCAGGCCCCATGAAGGTGCAGAACAGGCCCTGGCTGACTGTCCTCTAGGCTGGGATGAGAACACCAGGCTGTCTTGGTGGATGTCTGGTAGGGATGGTGGGAAGAGGGTTGCAGAAAGAACTAGCAGAAATGTGTTTATGGAAAAGCACCCAAGGTGGGCGAGTTCTGAAGCTGGCCGGGGCTGGAGCTTTATCTGAGTGTTGGTGATCACAGAGGAGGTGGCAGGAGGTCAGTCCTCTTGCAAAAGCTCCTTAGCTGTGGTCCACCCATACCTGCCCAGGAAGATTGGGCTTGTGCCTGGACTGAGGGCTTTTGAAGGTCATCCTAGGTGAACTTACTGTCACTTCCACCAGATTTCCTGGTTTCTGGTGGTGTTTGCTAAGTGGACCTGCTGTTAAGCATGAGCTACTACTGTTTGACGGAGAGGCCTTTCAGCAAGGTGACAAGTCTCCAGCAATTATGGAGCCCACACCAGTAAACAGTTGTTGCTGCTGGGCTTTTGATGTTTTCTGGTGACTGGAAGCAGCTGACGCATTTCTGCTTTCTGCGGTGTGTTTGTGGGCTCATCTCTCTGAACAAGGAGGACCACTGTTTTGGCTTCTCAAGGTTTAAGGGATCCAGGGATTTTTGAGTGTGCAGAAAGCACCTCAGCATGCCCCTCACACCCCTGCCCTGGTCCCTCCTGCCACCCTGCCTTCCCTGTGAGCAGCAGCAGTCGCTCACCTCTGGGCAGAGTTTCCTGACCTGTGACCTGTTTCTGTCCTCACTCATCCAGCAAGCCCCTGCCTGTGGCAGTCATCAGAGGTCACACCACCTCATGAAGACACAGGAAGGCAGCATTGCTTCATCTGCCCTAACTGCCCGTGGAGGATCTGGACAGTCTGAGTTAATTAGAATGCTGGGCAAGCTGTAGCTGTTAGTGAAGAGGGCCAGGAGGAAGGTTGGGGTGAGGAGTGCATCCTGGGGTGTACTGTGGTCAGAGGCTGAGGGGCAGTTCTTCCCTGAGAACCCAGAGGGGCTTTTTCTGCAAAACCATTGGGAGGTGGGCACAACGGCCCTGAGGAGTGAGGCAGGGGCCCAGAGGCACTTTAAGGAACACGTGAGCGTGGTTCTGGTTGTATAAGTGGGTATTGGTGTGCCTATGTGCTCCTGTCTCTTCCAGCAAAGAATAGAGTTCATGAGGAGAACTGATGCCCTTGAATTTGTGGAGCCAAAGGTCAGTTTACAGCTGGTTTTAGCCCTGATCCACATGTGTTCTTAAGAGCTGCTGATCAGTAGTTACAAATCAGGAAATTGCTCAAAAATCTCAGGTTCCTGATTCTCTTGAAAAATGAGAGTCTGGTAACTCAGCCCTTCTGTACCTGTAGGTGAGAGGGAACTAGGTGATAGCTGTCCTGTCCTGTCATCATCGTTGTCGTCAGCCTCCCCACCCCACCCCCCAGTGACATCACTGAGGCCCGTTGTTGCCCACTTGGACTGTTGACATTTTCGTCCCTGGCTGGCAGAGATGATTCGCATCTGTCTGCTTGTGATCTGGACTTTGACTCTTTGCCCCATTCCTTCGTCGATTGGCTCCTCCTTCACCCCATACTGACGGAGCACCTGCCCTGCCAGGCACAGTATATGGCTCTGGGGATCCAGCAAGGAACCAGGCACACATGAGCATGGCATCTGCCTGTGTCTTGAGTGTGGAACGGGGGAAGTTACAAGATTGGACTCAGGGTGCCAGTGGCAGCTGTAAACTGCTGCTACAACAAATGGAGGTTTCAGGGCCATGTGGGGTGGGGAATGGAGTGGGCTGGCACCACAGAGAGGCGGGAAGTAGCTGCTGGGGAACAGCCTGCACAGTCTCTGTACTGGAAGAAGGAGGGTGGTGTGTGTGTGTGTGTGTGTGTGTGTGTGTACTCTTGTGTATTGTGTGTATGTAAAGTATATATCGTGTGCAATGTGTAGTGTATGTAGTGTGTGTATTTTATGTAGTATGTGTATGCGGTATACATGCAGTATTGAAGTGTGTTTGTGTGGTGTGTGTCTGTTGTCTGTCTTCCTACTACTCTCTTTCCTCCTTCTCTGTGCACTAGCTAAACCACAGTCTGCCAGTGCTAGCACCCTGGGGCCCCAGTGAAGTTTGCTGGGTGGGTGGGATGGCCACACGCTCATCCAACACACTCGGACAGAATAAGCATGAGGTCTCCAAGTCCACGTGCTGTGATTTTCAGATGTTTACAGATGCTTTTGTTACAAATGGAAGGGAAGTTTACAATGGCATTATTCCTAGTAACTTGTTCATTATGCATCTTCTGGAGCAGATGAGGACAGTCAACAGTTTGGGGTCTAAGAGGGCCTCTTAGATGGGCAGTCTCTGTATTTGATCTTTCCTAGCTCCTCAGTGTGCCCTCCTCTTTCCCCAGTCAGAAATCTTTGTGGTTACAATGTTTGAAGACCTATGTTCCTCCTTCACAGCCTGCCCATTCAACACTCTTGGAGTTCCCCTTTGGCAGACACCCTGTAACAGCCCTTGATATAGGGAACCAGTGGGAACCAGGTCTTCCCAAGGTGGCAGGGCAGTGGTAATAGCAAACCAATCTCAAACACTTCCCCGGTTTCCTGTGGTGTTCAGAACGGCTTTCCCTGTTAATGCCCCAGGGCAGGGGCAGAGTTCTCCAGGCTGTACCTGCGGGCAGCTAGGGCCCAGAGAAATGTGGTTGCTTGCCTAAGATCACAGGCTTAGGAAGTGAAATGGGGAACTGGGCCCTTTCTGCCATGCACGGTACACTGTAGAGTGCCGCGGGGGGCACAGCAGTGTCTGCCCAGTTCTAATTCGCTTTCTACATTTCTTTTCTGATCTTGGGGGGAAGAAACTTCTGAAAACTACCTGTTTAATTAGGCTAGACCCAACTTGGCCTTCAAACTGCTTGAGATGTTTGTAATACTAACAATGTTAGCAATACTATACCTAGATAAGAAGCAGTACTAATGTAGATAAATGTGTTTTAAAAAAAAAGAACACAGCATCCCCAACTGTTTCCTGGTCTCCCGAGCAGCTGTTGGCAGAGGCGGTTTGAATGGGATTCCTTGTAGCCAGGAGACCCAATAGGCTTGGAAAGATGAGTCATGTATGAGCTTGCAGAAAAATCATTTCCCAAATTAGCCTGGATTGCAGCTTGCTGTCAGTGCCAGACTGGGGCTTACCTCAGTCCTGCGATGTGTTGCCTGTTGCCATGGTAAAATGACACAGTGGAAAAGAAGATGGGCCTGGTTATGGCCCCTGCCACACCCCCGGGACCCCTGCCTTGCTGTTGGGACAGGTGTTCCAGCAAGTCATCCACCTCACCCCAGAGACTGTAAGTAAATAAGAGCCCATGAAAAAGGCGTGGTGGTGCACGCCTTTAATCCCAGCACTCGGGAGGCAGAGGCAGGTGGATCTCTGAGTTCCAGGCCAGCCTGGTCTACATAGGGAGTTCCAGGCCAGCTGGGGCCACAGGGAGATCCTGTCTCAAAAAGACCAAAATAATAATAATAATAATAATAATAATAATAATAGCAGCCCCAGCCTGTGACTGATGAGGGTGTGTCACCTAGTAGGCCAGTCACCTTGGTTTCTGGTCATTTGTGTAAGATTGTCTGAAACTTGGCATGTCCTTAGGCGACTCCTTCTCTTTCTGGGTCTCTTTTTCCATCTGTGCCTAGAGGGAGTGGGACTCCGGAATTAGTTCTTCCCTGTGTGCTTTTTAAAGCACGCAGCGCCTCTTTTACACCTAAGAAGCCCACTACAGACGGCTGAGGGCTGAGTAGCGGAGCATCCGTCTAGTCTGCTCCAGAGACTGAGTTTGATCCCAGCAAAGAAGTCACAGCAGGTAGGGAAGCCACTTTAGTCAGTTCTTCTGCTCAGCTGTGGCCCTCCACCAACACAGGGTGGAGACCACTTACTGGTTGGCCTCAGCCTCCTTGCCAAAGCTGCCCCCCCACCCCCAGTGCCTTTTTTTCCCTAGCAGATAGTAAATTCCAGGGAAAAGCCCCACAAAACACGGGTAGAATGATGCTGTTTAACCCACTCAAAATCCAAAGCCCAGTTTCCTGCCTGCAAGTTAATAATAAATAATGCTTTAAATAGATCTTAGCTCCTGAGTGGTGTGCTTGTCTACCAGCCTAGGACGCAGTAGGTTTTCAGTGCATACTTACTAAAAAAATGAGTAAGGGCTGGGGTGTGACTCGGTACAATGCTTGCCTAGCGTGCACAAAGCCATGAGTTCCATTTGATCCTCAACACTGCCATTCAAAGCAAAAGACAGAAAAAAGAACTAGTAAACTTGGTTACTGTTACCACAGAATGAATTTAGTTTCTGATTTCAAGGCTTTGTTATCTTTAGTCCTTTCCTTCTTTGCTGGGGCTATACCACTGAGCCTTACTATGGCCCTGACTAACTTTAGCTGTAGCTTCCTCTAGTTTTAAGTTGCTAACTAGGCTGTTTCTTAGTGACTCAGGAGGAATACTCTGATGTCAGGTGCCCAGTGGATTGAGGGTTCTGTGTCAACCATGTACATTGATCAGTGTTTTTGTATGGTCCTCTGAAAAGCTGCAGTCAAATCCCAGCTTCTGGGAGGCTGAGGCAGAAGAATGGAGAGTTCTAGGCCAACCTGAATACATAGTGAGATTCTGCCTCAAAACATCATTAAAAAAAAGGAGATTCCCAAGCCCAGTGTGGTGACATGCCTCTGTTTCTTCAGCTTCTGGAAGGCTGAGGTAGGAGGATCTCTGGACTCTGGGAGTTTGAGACCACCTCAGGCAATATAGCGAGGTCTTGTTTAAAAGCTGGGGGTGGGGGGGCACACGACACGACTTGAGTGTGGTTCAGCAGTAGAATACATGCTTGGTTGGTATACACAAGACCCTGGGTTCAGTCATTGCAAAAGAGGAAGATCAGATTCCATGCTCTAGGCCTGGGCGAGGCAGAGCCTCCACTGGACTCTGACAAGACAGATGCTTGCTGGTCATGCACACCCTAGCCTCCATTTTAAACACTACTTGGTTTGCATGGGAGCAAGAACTCTCGGGCAGAACACATCCTTCATAGAGCAGGCATTTACACAGCAGCAGGGCTGCCAGCCCTGTGTAGCCTAGCACACGCAGTGGCGCCAGGAGCAGCGTCCCGGTACTACTTGTTCACCTTTTCAGCTTGCAGTGGAACGTTCTTTAAGAGCAGCTCCATGTCCTTTAGCTCTGCTCACTGTTGGCTGTGGGTACCTCCTGTCCTTGTAGAGCTGGCCAGAGTGGGCTTGGCTTCCCCTTCTGTTTATGTCATAGGACCTAGGTATCTTTCTTGTGAGCCGAGAGACTGTCTTGAGTGGGCGAGAAATCTTGGGTCTAAAGGCAATTCCTCTTTCTACCCTTTTCCTTCCTGACTGGGATTGGAAAGAAACATGAGCCAGAGTCTCGCCTGCTGCATCCTAAACACATTTCTGCCCCTATTGCTAGCCCATTGTGTCTGTTGGCCCCTGAAGTAATCTCTTTACTTTCTCTGCCTGCAGGAACCACAGTCATTTCACTATAAATGAAGTTTTGTATCAGAACTCTGCCCTGTTTTGAAAGCATAGAAACAGAGCTTGCTGGCCAAGAACAAGGGCCTGTTTTAGTAGTTCACTGTATAGCTTTTAAAATATGTGCTATTGGTGTGACCTGGCAGGTGTGGCTTCCAGGCACGCACTGCTCTGTTCAAAACAGCAGGATAGGGCCAGAGAGAGGTTTAGCGGGTAAAGGCCCTTATTGCCAAGTGATGACCTGAGTTCAATCCCCAGGTCCCACATGGTGGAAGGAGAGAACCAACTCCTACAAGTTGTCCTCTGACCTCCACCCTCCCACCCTATCCCCCAAATAAATGTAATAAAAATAAACCAGAGCAGGAGCGTGATGCTGCAATATCCCATGAGAAGGAGGGCATGGAATGAGAGGACAGCTGAAGCCCTATGGCCTGCTGGCGTCACATCGCCACTTTGCCGACCCAGAGCAAACAAACAAAACCCTGGTTGGAAACAGTGTGGTATTTGTTAGCTGGTTATGGATAACCCCATGGGCCTTTCTGCCTTCAAGTGCTGATTGTGAACAGATAGATGAATGATTGTGTGGGGGCCTTGGAATTGGTGCCTCTTGGCCCCTCCTTTCGTAAGTAAAAATAATAGTAGCCGCTAACCGTCCCTGGGCTCTTACCACGTGCCAGTACCAGGCTCTGCATTCCACACATGTGACTTAATCCTCGTGACAGAGCAGAGGTATCGTACTGTTCTGCAGGGAGGACTCTGAGCAACAGGCTGTTCGTGGAGATCTGGAGTAGCTAAGGTGCAGTCGTACACTGAGCGGGGCAGAGGCAGGACCGGAGCCCACAGACACGTATGCCACTTACCAAGTCTCTTAACTCTGTGGCACGGGTCGAAATGGACTTGCACATTTCCAGGCACCTCTCCACCCTTGAGGTAGCTGCTGTAGTGCCAAGGACTCCAGTGTAGCAAGGGTACTTGTGACAAAGCTGTCTGTCCCTTGCTGTCCTACCAGAGGACCCAGGCTCAGGAAAAACTGCTGGTGCCTTCCATATAACTTGGTGCAGGAAACAGCCCCACTTGAGAGGGCTTTTCTGGGAAACAAGCCTGGTACTGAGTGTGCAAGCTTTACCACTGAGCCACCCAACCCCTAAGAGGCTCTTTCTTTTCCTTCCCTCTTCCTCTCCCTCTTTCCCTTCCCTTCCTTCCTCCTCTCCTCCCTCCTCTTTCTAGCTCTCCCTGTTTTCTAGACAAGGGTTAGTTGGGTATCCTAGACTGGCAGCCTTGAACTCACTGAGTAGCCCAGGCTGACCTCAAACTCACAGCAATCCTCCTGCCTGAAGCTTCTGAGTGCCAGAATCACTGGTATTCACCTCCTCACCATGCTTTGAGGCCCTTCCTAATGCTAGCTGCAAGTCTAGTCTGCAGGGTTGGTGGCAGGGTGGACAGTTAGTTTGCCAGTTGTTTCTTTTTGTTGTTGTTTGAGGTAGAGCTAATGTAGCCCAGGCTGGTCTCAAACTTGCTATATAGCTAAGACCAGCCTTGAACTCCTGATCCTTCTACCTCCTGCTTGCACCCGCAGCCACACCTCCTTTTTTACCTAGTACTGGGGATCCAAACTCAGGTCCTCATGCTTGAGCAGAATGCTCCTCCCACTGCATCTCCCCAGCCCTGTAGATGTTTTCAGCATGACTAGATGTGGCTTGGCACTAACTGTTCCAGTGCAGGAGGTGGTGACTAACGTTTACCCAGTGGCTCCTGTGTGCTTCCGCTGCTGGGAGCTTCATCTTCAGAGATGCACTTGATTAATTAACTTCTCTTTTGTTGGGGGAAGAGGCAGGTGTTAGACCCATTTTACAGGTGGCAGGGGAGAAATTGGCTGGGCAGTACTGCAGGGAACCTGTGTCCACGGCTGGTCTGCCAAGTCACAGAGGTGGACCGGGATCAGCTCAGGCCTTCCCTGGGGCTTTCCAGCATCTCTACAGGACTGTGACCCTGGCTGCACGTCTACACAGCAGCCTCTGGTTCTCAGTTGCAGAGTGACTGGACAGAAAGCAGAAAGCAGCTTGGGAGCCACCTTCCCAGATGGCACAGTAGGAGTGGGAAGTGGCCCTGGGTTATAGTAACTCTCTCCACCCAGCACGGCAGACAGCAGCCTGCCCATGGGGAGTCATGAGGGGGCAGTACCTGTGTTGTGTGCAGGAGACTGGGTCTCACCTTTCGCACGCTCCTCTGCGGCAGAGGCAGTGTGAGCCTGAGCAGGGACTGCAAGGAGAGCCTCCCTGTGAGCCCAGGACCACACCAGGACACTGACTCAGCCTGCTCACTTGTTTGGTAGCACAAGAGTGGCTGAACGGAGCCCAGAGCTGAGGTTTTCAGTCAACACTTTGTGTGGTAGTTGTGGGGTCTTCCTTTGTCGAAGTCAGGCTTCCTCATGGTGTGAAAAGAAGAGTCAGTGCGGCAGTACCCAGGGTGGTGGTGGTACCCAGGGTGTTAGCCGAGTCCTGACAGGGAGAAGTGCTCCGTGAGCACTAGCCTTGTTCTTACCCAAGGGCCCTTCCGCCCTAAAATGGTGACATGGTAACTGAAGTTCAGACCTCATTACGCCGAGGAAAGGGAGGCTCTGCCTACCGAGAGGTTTTAGAGTCTCTCCTAGGGCTAGAATCCTGGCGTCACATGAGCTGAGTGCTCAACCACTGAGCCACACCCCGGCCCCTCTTCCCTGAGCCTTCTCTGGAGAAGCTAAGTGCCAAGGGTCCAGTCACTGAGAGCTGGTTACAGTTAGGCTAAGCCTGGGAAGATCCATGGGAGG